CGAAGGACGCATGCAGCTCCGCGTCAGCAGGGACTCTGCAGGTGACAGTTCGGTTTCAAACGACAAGTGCCAGATGCGCGCCGCACAGAGGCGCGGGGCAGAGGCCGCGCGAACATTGGGCCCAGGCCAAGTTCGCGAGGAGGCCGCGCTGGCGTAATCGGGCCCCCCAAGCTGACCATTTGCGATGAAACACGGCTCCGCCGACAGGGCCACGCACGGCACTTTTCAAGGAAAGGTTGGGGGGCCTCCGCGTCAAGCGGAGGGCAACGTGAGGGCTGGCACGGGCAGGAAGAATGCCCGCGCCATCCCACGCATGTGTGGCAATGGCCGCGCCAAGAGCGGGGGTCCTGCGATGTCCAACATTGACATTTACATCGACCTCGGGCGACTGTGCGCAGACGGCGCCTGGGCGCACCGATCCCGCCGCGGCGTCCCCGGCGCAGAGTTAAACAGGCATCGCCCCCGCCATGTCGACTCAGCGCCAGAATGGCGCCGTTCAACCCAGAGCGCCGTTCAGCGCGAGTTGCCAGCCCTCCCCCGCGACGACGGGCGGCGTGAACAAACGGGAGGAGGAGGAGGAGGAGGGCGTCGCCACGCGCGCCGCGCGACCATCGCCAATCCGCCGCCGCGACTGGCAGCGCCACCACCTCCTGCCCCAGAAGCTCCACCGCCGCCGACGCCGCCACTGGGCCCGCCACCAGGACGTACTACCAGCTACATGATCGAGGCGCGCGAGGGAGAGGGCTCGTTCAAGCTGGTTCGAACGCCGCGGGGCTCGGCCCCTGCGTCGATTGCATCGTAACAAAACGTTCCATAACCAGAAGATGCGATCGTGCTGCGCGACCCCGGGGGCCGCGGCTGTCCGAGCCCGCCAGGACGTGCCAACTGATTGCGGCAAGCCTGTTCGGGCAGAGGAAATAGCGACCGACGCCGGCAGCTGCTCCGGCCGATCTGCCGATGGCGTCTGGGGTGCGCCAACGACCAGCACGCGCGCCATCTTCAGCGCCGGCGCGCGGAGACATGCCGGACACGAGAGACGTCGCGATAGAGGGGCCGGGCACGAACGGCTCGGGCGCGAACGCTGCAGAAGTCGTGGATCACATGTCATTGCGACATGAGGCATCAGCATCGTTCAGAGATGACAACATCAGAGTCGGGAGCTGGAGATGCTTCGGGCAGCGGCCCAGGCGGCCACAGAAGTGCCGCGCCAACAAAGACTAGCAATCCATGCGGGGCGCCGGAGGCCGCGTGCGACTGGCCGCCAGGTGCAATTGCAGAAGATATATCCAATTACGCGCGCGCCATATTTTCGAACCCTGGATTCATGCAGTTTCAACCACTGCAACGACAACCAGTGGATCCGCGGGCGCTCTCCGAACACGATGCAGAGTATGCTGGAATATACCTGGTCAATCCCCCATTAAGCCGCGCGAGCTATCGCTACCGACGCGACGCCATCGACGAGATTCACCAGACGGCAGGAGCGAATTTGGGAGACAGGGCACTCTTGCCCAGAACTGTGTCCGACCTCAATGAGCCCGATGTAGATCCAGTTCCCCGCACCAGGATAATCGTTCATTTTGCCACTGGTATGAGTAACCACGAATATGGTGGCCCTGTATTTTCTCATGGGCTCGCTGGGGGTTCCATCATAGCCATCCCTTGTTGAGGATGCCGATCGTGAAGAGTATGATCCCGGTCCAGATGACAAAGGCAGATGCGCTGATACATGCTTCGCTGAGGACATGGCAGCGGTCTTCCGAGAGGGAGATCAGCTCGGATCTTCGCAAGACCGCCATCTCGCGACCATTCGCTCGCATGTCTCTACCAAGATAAGCGAGCTGCGGTCTCCAAGGAAGAACAACTGCTCACTGAGCAAGACTTCCTCAACCATCCTATGCAATTAGATCTTTTTCTTAGCTGCACTTCAATACTGCTGGGTTGCCGACGTTTCACCGCGGAGTTGCTGTCCAGAGCTCCAAACGCGATGACTCACAGATGCGTCAGCATGTGGAAAGTCATCAAGATTGACTCCAGATAAATAGAGAAAAAGATTCGTAAATATTAGTCGTCGCTTCGTATTGCGATGTTTTACGGGTGAGGAGGCCTTCCCCGTGGATGCCTTTGCGGGCTTTGCGCGGCGAGCGCCCCGAATGTTGTTGGGCACTAAAACGGCGCGCCATAAGATTTGGGTTTTATTTAGTATGGGCATGGGCAAAGCACCTTTGAAGGGTTTCGCTTGCAAAGAATCAGTTTTGGGCGGGCATGGTTTGCTTCCCTCTGCCAGCAGCGCAGCAGTTCTAAGATCATTTTTCCAGGCTCCGAGGAATCTGACGGGACAAGACACGTTCTAACGCGCTTCGAACCTTGCAGTGGCTTTCGGCCTGCTCCTCGAGCCTCTTCGTTCACATGCGAACAAATCCAAGGGAGCATGTTTTTCCCTGGTCGTGCGGCTCTCACATCGAAGCTGCTACTGACCTGCTAACCGCTTACCGCTTTGATGTATCAGTAAGCGCGGCACGGAATAACGCATCGACTATTGCGTCACGCGGGCCGAGCACGCGTTATACATACGAGGTGAACCAGCACGCCGACGCGAATTCTGCCGTACGGTACTTAGACAGGCGATGGGATCGCGATCGTGGATCCAGATGACTGCGTCGAACAACGTTGTCCCACTGCTCAGCCTGACAAGATCATCCCCAGATGCTAAGGTTAGTCAAGTCGACGACGATACGCGTGATAACTTTCGAGAGTTACCAGGATGCGCAGTACTTGCGCTGTTCCGGATCGTGTCCCATGGAGTTTTGCTGCAGCGCATCCAGAAACCGACCAACATACCGGCGGGGCGTCACAACGCCTCTGAACGTGAGTTTTCACAGACCCTGATGAAGATTACCCATCGTTCAATGACCAGATGGGGCGGTGGACCTGCTCGGCGTCTCTCGGCACAGGAAACGCACTGGCGAATGTGATGGCAAGACCAGACGTGCGGCCGTAGAAGCTGCAAGTTTTTGCGTTGTGGAAGGACGAACAGCAGGGAAAATGGCTGCTTTGCTGCCTCGATCGACCTTGCAATTTTCGTCCCCCCCAGGTCAGATCAAGCTATGCTGCGGAGGCTGCGCGTGAGGCCTCGGCGAGTGCTCGCCCGCGCTGGTCGTCGTGCGCGCGCTCATCAAAGGACCTCCTGTTCCTGTTTTCTGTGCACAGGTGCTCCTTACCATTGATTCGCTTACCAGGTGCTCTACCCGTCGAGGATCGTACGACGCCCGCTAAGAAGATCTGTCTGAGCACATCAGCTGGATGCGAGAGTTCCTCGACTTCGAAATCATGAGCAATGTCCAAGGGTGCGACGCCCGCGACATGATGGCCGACGGCCACGCGCAGGGCATCATCGCCCGAGTCTTTTCTCACCGAGTAATGGCCGGCCTTCGGAGCTACAGACATGCGGTGAAGACACATGCTCCGCATGAGGGCGACCAGCGTTCCTCCGCCACTACATGAAGCGCTGCGGCTGATCAGACGTCTACATCGATCCTTGAGGTCTGGCGGGCTTCCACTCTGCGTCCACGCAGTGTGTAGAGAGGGGGGGCCCCTGCTGGCCCCTCGCTGAGCGGATTCGCGGATTCGCGCACGCTCTATGTTGGTACGGGTTCGCGCCAGCCGCTACGCTCCCCGCGATCCCAGAATCGCGACTTCGCTATGCCAGTCCTCTCTCTGAGTTGTGAGGACCAGCCCGTGCCTGTCCTGCTCCATGCTGTATGGGTTCAGCTTTCTGTTGCCCCGCGGCGCACTGTAGTGCTGAGTTTCCGGAGTCACGACAAAGTGAATCGGACATGCAGGGCTATCCGTATTTTTCCATGCGTTCGCTCGGTTGTCAGAGTTTCGGAACGCCGACCGCTTTTGTTTCAATGAGCGCCCTTGTGAGCTGCACGCCAAGGTGGCGGCAGGCAAGCTTCGTCGCCCCCCCCGTCGACTCTGAAGTGAACGCTCCGACGGGAAGCGTTTTGGTCTAAGCATTGCTTGCTGCGCCGCCGCCTTGGCTCAAGGCGCCGCCGCCACATTTGTCGCCGGTGCCTCACCAATGCCCTACGTGCAGCGGCGCGGGAGGTCAAAAAGGCTTCTCTCTTTTCCGCTGCCGCGACCAGCACCGTGCCTAGGCATCATGCGACGTCGCTTCCCGTTTTCAGTGAGGCCCCCAAGGCAGCCCCAGGAGGGCCCAAAGAGAACATTATTGTAGCATTCTGGCAGGTCGAGTGCCGAGTCACGCCCCCGAAGCCCTTGGACAAGTCATACGGTAAGCCCCCAGAGCGCCCGGGAGCATCCAGGAATTTTGGAATTTGGGGCTTGGGCGCTTGCGCAGTACCCAGGATAATTATTCTGTCGACAAGAATTCCGAAGGGACATGAGGACTCTCAATCCCGTGCCCCGCCCCACGATGGCGGTGCCATACAGATGCATATGTTTGTATATGTGTCGAGTTAGATGTATGCGTTTGAATAGGAATACTCATGTGAATACATGAATGTCTACATACATACATACACATACATACACAAACCTACCTACCTACCTACCTACCTGCCTGCCTGCCTGCCTGCCTACCTACCTACCTACCTACCTACCTACCTACCTACATACATACATACATACATACACACATACATACATACACACATACATACATACATACATATACACATACATACAAAACATGTTCGTAATGGTCGCTGAGGGCCGGGCTGCAGCTGGAATAGGCCAGGGGCGAGCGACCGTGCATGCCACGATCGGAATGCCGTTTCAATGTTCTTCTCTCAGAGACCGGCCCGTATTTCGCATCCCCATTTTGCGACCGACGGTGGCGCAGTGTCGAGCGTACGATGAAGAGGACCTCGTGATTGGCTCAGGCAGAAGGGGTGGCAAGTACATGGGACGACTTGTAGCTCCACGCCAAGGGGGAGCTTTGAGGTCGATGGAAGGGTAGAACGTGCCAAGGGAAGGGCCGAAGCGGCGAGTATTACCGCGACTACAGCTACCTTTCGTGTCACTACCAGGACTTCAGCGCCATTTTCCACCGCACGCAGACGTGTGCAGCAAAACGCTATCTGCTGGATCTTATTCGGAGTTGCAGAGTAGCCGTCTGGGCATTCAGATCCACCTTTCGAGGCTAGGCGCACGGTCAGATATAACTTCACAGGGTGGATCAACGCCAGGAGTGCGAAGGAGTGGTCGTGGCCACGAGGCCTGTGCCCAGGATGCACCACGCCGCCCGAGTTTTGAAGGGATTGAGGCATGTATGTGTGAGATCTCCATCGGGGCTGCCGTTGGGTGGTGTGGGCCAGTATCGATGACTGTGAGAGTGATTCGGTCGAGGGTGCCTCTTGGTGAGCTCACATGCTCATCCTCCCGACAAAAGTGGTGAAGCAAGTCACTCAACCCCATGATCTGCGCAGAGGGAGGAGCGAGGCGAATCTGCGCCACATCACCGCAGAAGTGTTTCATGCTGTCGTGATGTTACTGGCTCGCTGAAAGTGAATATGCCTCGTCTCGCATACCTTCATACACATCTAAGATTCGCGCACATGGTTGCAGCAATATGTGCAGAATATGTGGCGCTCGGCCAACGTCGCAGTGATCAGGAGCGAAAATATGGAGTTGTGACGTGACGATGCCGTATCATGGCATGGTTATCGCGTCACGTGTTGGGGATATCTGTTGAGCTTCTTTGGAGGCCATTCGGGGGGCCCTTTGAGGTCTCGTGTGGAGCTCTTGAGGCTTCTTGGGAACCTGTCGGCAGCGTTTTGGGGGCGTGGTCTCAGTGGATCTTGTGCGCGATGGTTCTCCCGAGCTCTCCCAGGGAGGCTCCGTAGGACTATCGTGGGGACGTCTGGGCGGGTCTTGGAATTAGCTTGGAGCTTTCTGGGGCGGTATTCGTCAATCTTGTGAGGTGGTTGTGCAGTCTTGGGGCCCGTTTTTGGGCCGTCGCGGGTGCTTCATGAGATCTGACGCCTTCCCGAGATCAACGTCAGCCGAACCGGCTCGGAAGCGAACACCTTGAACATCCAGTACGATTGATTTGTCGATTTCACGTAAGAGTGACCCTTCGCCGGAGTGACCCTTGGTGCGGGCTCATCGGGCTCCCCCGGATCGCCGAGCGCGATGCGATATAAGCGGCCCGCGTCCTTGGGTTTGGTTCCCTCGCGCGCCCAAAAATTGCGCACCAAAGGTCACTCTCTGGGTAGTCGAAGGCCAGACTGGCAGATTAGATTGGGCTCCTGGGGCCAATCTGGCTCGACCAGGTTGGGTTTTTGTTGCTGTTCGCCAGGCTGGATTCACAGAGGCTCCCTCGCCAGATTGCCACCGTTTGCCAGATTGGGCCCGCCAGATTGGCGCCAGAATGGCTTCGACTACCAAGTTATCGGAAGCGAGAATTTGAGAAAGCACAAGCCATTGGTGTCCTTAAGAAGTTTGGCCTTTTTGGTGGGGTCCGGCGTGGGGGTGCTCCGAGAGCACTCCCCGTCGTGTTGTTCTCGTGTAGCCTCTTGGGGACATGAGGCCATCTTGAACTACTCTCTGAGGTCTTGAGCAATCTTGGATGCCATTTTGGAGCATCGGAGCCCCCCCCCATTTGAGCCATCTTATTAGACAATGGTGGGCGCTCTAACCCCTCCGTCGGGGACCCGACAAAACTCAGAGAGGGCATATGGGAGTGTACCCCTCCCAGGTGGGAATATGTTCTTGGAAGAGAGAAAGAACTCGCTAGACCATCCGAGCCCAGAGGGTTAGTGGCATTTCGGGGGTGCTGTTCCCCAGGACCATTCACGACGAAGAACGGGCTCGCGCCTAGGAGTCTACAGAAACCCACCAGGCAGCCAGCAACATCGTAACACGCACAACGTGCCGATTACCATCTGGCAGAGCTCATGTGGATTAGCACGTTGTTTGCGACATGTTGTCCATCCATTGTGCAGCTGATGTCGTTGCATGTGGGACATGATTGTTCGAAGCACCGTCGTGTAGAGAGATGCTTCCAAAAACGTCATCACATTCTGCACTTCGAATGGCGAGGAGCGACATTATGTTTGCACCCACGGCGACTGTCAGCAGGGCCCGCATAGGCTGTTCTTCTTTTCTATGCGCCCGACTTTGCGGTTCTAAGAGCTAGATGCAATCATCTTCAGTACATTCATTCGTTGTGCATTGCTTGCCGTCGTTTCCCTTTCTCTTTGCCTTCGTACGATGCCTCGCGCACCACACCATCTGTGTTTTCTATTTCCTATGATCGACCCCTCTTTCTTAAATGTCTGGTGTGCCTCCCACACTTCCATCATTTTGGCTCCTGTCTCTCATCGTGGTCGGCGTTCCCCTGTAGTGGAAGGGGGAGGATGACTGGGAATGGAGAGCGAAAGGGAGGACCAACAGGATGAAGGTGACGAGGGAAGAGGTGGTGGTCGTTTCCCTTGGTAAGTCAGGAACTGGACCGCGCAGGCAGCTTCCTGCGTGCACACGATGCACACTTGATTTGGACATTTCGACGCACTGGCGCCCCGATTCTGCAAGTCGCCGACGCAATCGAATGGCACGTGGAGGAGGATTTGTCTTGTGGCCTCCCAGTGCGAATCTTGTGAAGCATGGTTGGCCATCGTCCGCGAGATAGCCAGTGTCGGCGGAATCTTCGAGGCAGGTGCCATCGCTGCAGTGGCTGAGAGGTTGGTCTGGTCGGCATCGTCTGCCGTCCCTGACCTGCAGGACCGGAGCGCGCTGCAAGCGACTCGGAGTGTGGCGACGACGGGTGAGAGACGCGAGCTGCTCGGGCTCCGCTGGCCCTGCTCGACCGTCGTAGAGTCTGGGCACGGCGCCACGATCTGCGCCTCGAGGCCGCAGAGCGATTGGTCGAACACGTTGAGGACCAGCGGCGCCAGTGGGGGTTGGGCGGGGCCGTCTCGGACGATTCTCGACACCCACACGGGTTCGCGAGTGTGTCCCCGAGTAGATTATCGGCCAATCCCGCCACCGTGTCTGGGTTGTGGGTCAGAGGCCTCTTGGATGCAGATTGCGGAATCTTTGGATGCCTTTCGGGGACCTTTTGAGTGTTTTTGGAGATCTCGTGGGGCCTCCTGGAGGTCTTTTGGGCGCCTACGGGGGGATCTTGGGGCCATCTTGAGTTGGAGTGCTCGAAATGTCTGTTCAGGCTCCCCCTCTTGGGGCAGTCTTGGGGGCCTCTTGGGCTCATCTTGGAGGCCTCCTGGCCTATCTTTTTGGGCCTCTTGGGCCGTCTGGGTACGCTCTTGGGGGCCTCAGGGGCCGTCTTGAGGCGGTGTTGGAGCATGGAAGGCAGGAAAGGCGATAACGATATGATCATTCCGACACCTGCGGAAAATGATCTTTTGGAGATCTCTTGGGGCGTCTTGGGGGTCTCTTGGGCAGTCTTGTGGCGCTCTTGGGCCGTCTAGGGGGCCTCTTGGACCGTACAGTTTGGTCGTTGACCTAAGGAACCCTAAATAAGGAACGAGGCCCCTCCGTTCCATAAGTTAAACTTCGATTTCCCATATAAAAACCTCTGGGAATTCCGAGGCAAATTGTAAAACAATCAAGGAACACCGAGCCCCTCCCCAACGAAAAGCGTTCCCTCTTCAGGGCCCCGACTGTATTGGGGGCCTCTTGGGGCTCTCTGAGTCCATCCTGGGGATGGAAAAGTCACGGGGAGCCCAAAAGCATCTGCGGAAAGCCCCACGGCGCCCGGAAGTCGGGGGTTGCCACCCCATTGAAGCGCATATTCAATATTTGGTAAGGACATTCACCTTCGTGCCTCGAGTCACGGGGGTGGATTTGCTATCGAAGATGCCCACGGCGAATCACCGCCGCCCGCTGCCTTTTTGGAAGCGCCTGCGTGGCCGAAAGTTGGATTTGAGCTTGGCCAAGCTATCGGGGCATGCGTTCCCCGAGTGGGTTTCGAAAGCCTTCGGGGAACACGGAGTCGGGCGAGCTATCGGACCATGTGGTTTCCGAGCTTTCGGGCCTCCTGGAGGACGCCTTGGAGGGGTCTTGGGCCGTCTTGGAGGCCTCTGGTGGGCCTTTTGGGCAGTCTAAGGCCATCTTCAGGCCATCTGGGGCCGTCTTGGGTGCATCTTGGGGCCATCTTCGCCGTCTTGGAGGCCTTCTTGGCTGTCTTGGAGGCATCTTGGAGGCCATCTTGGCTGTCTTGGGGGCCATCTTGGGCGTCTTGGGGGCCTCTTGGGCCGTCTTGGGGTCTTGATGGGTCCCTCTTGGGGGCCTCTTGGCCTGTCATGGGACTATCTTGGAAGCCTCTTGGGCGGTCTTGGGGCGATGTTTGGAGCCTCTTGGGCAGTCTTGGGCCGTTGGAGAGCTAACAAGAAGAAAATGCCAACATCCTTCAAACACCGAAGGGACATCAATGATGTTGGCCTCTTCGGGCCTTCTGGTGGAGCTCTTGGGGGCATCTTGGGCTGTCTTGGAGGCATGATCTTGGGCGCCTCTTGGGCCACCTTCGGCTCTCTTGGGGATATTTCTGTCTTGGAGGCCATCTCGGCCGTCTTGGAGGTCATCTTGGCCGTCTTGAGGCATCGCGGAGGCCATCTTGGGCGTCTTGGAGGCCTCTTGGTCCGTTCTGGAGCCATCTTGGAGGCCGCTGGGACGATTTGGGGGACTCCTTGGGCCGTCTTGGGCTGTCGGAGCACCAAAACGGAGGAAAAGCCAAACTCCTTCAAAAACCTAAGGACAACTGCTGATTTTGACCTCTTCGGGCCTTCCTCGAGTACCTTTTGCACTCCTCTGCGGCCATCTTCGAAGCCTCTCGGGCCCATGTTGGTCCATCCACGTCCACGTCCACGTCATCCGGGTTGACAGCCGCCACCGGCCCTTGTGACTGGTCGGTAGTCTATGAACAACCTGGGGAAACGCAAGGAGGGGCGCGGAAAGCACACCCGTCAGGCCCCCCGCCCGAATTTTGGCGCCCCCCAGAAGGGAAGGCGGGGAGAAGGAAGGGCAAGGGGGAAGGGGGGGGGAGGGAGGGGAGAGGAATAGGGGGGAAGGTAGGGGAGGGGGGGGAAGAAGAGGAAAGAGGGACTAGAGAGAGGAAGGGGGGGGCGACAAAACCGGGGCAGGGGGCCTGACAGGAGGAGAGACCCGGGGCCCATAACCACGACCCTGGCATCACTCTGCGACACCACCATGGAAGTTCTCAAAAACAACACAAAGTGGCCCCAAGAAGGTGGCCGCACCAGCGGTGGCGCAGAGCGCCAACTTGGTGCATTTAGACAAACCGACCCCTTTGGAACCACCCAAGCCGAAGACCCAGAAGCACAAGAACAACTTCCGGTGTCGCCTGGTGAAAACAGACGCCCACGCCATACCTACCCCAAGACTTCCACGCACGACGAAACGCCCCAAAAGCACGAGCCCAAACCGGGCAAGCACGGCCCCGGCTGCGAGGGGCCCCGGGGGCGGCGGCCACTCGGGGGAACCCGGTGGCCTGGCAGATGCGGAGGGCCGAACCCACCACGAAGCCGCCCCCGAACGGTCGGGGGAACCCGCCGTTTGGCAGAGTGCCGTGTAGAAACGCGATCACTGGCAGCGCAGCCACACAATGTGCAAGCCGACCCGGGAAGAGCCGGAGCTCGTCGTCATGCGCGCTTTCCTTGCCTGACCTCCCCACAAGCATTACGCTGTAGGCTCCGATGACCACCTTTCGGTGTCGATGGGTCATGTTAGGGTGCTCACCCCGCCCGACCATGGCCGAAGCCACCGCCGAGCGACACAGGCCTCCAGGGACCGCACACCCCGCCCGACCATGGCCGAAACCACCGCCGAACGACATGTGCGCTGCGCCCCCAGTTGACGGTGCGCCTCGACCAAGGGCGTCGCCGTCCTACCTCCCTGTCCACCCTCCGGGGAAAGGTCTGGAGACCCAACCGCCCCTGATTGGTTGTTGGACGAGGTGGGTTGTACACTCTCGCCCCCGAACGAAGAAGTGAGACAGGAAATAGGTCCGCAAGAGCCCCGAGCCAGAGACGCAACACCAAAGCCAGCGAACCTATCCCCACCGAAGGCTCAAGAGGGGGCGCCCCCGAGGGGGCATGGGTTAGCCGTACCTCCTCCCTCCTCCTCCCCTCCTTGATCCCTCACCCCGAAGGCCCGAAGAAGACAGAGCCCCAACAACACCACTAAGATCATGGGATGGGGTGGGGTCGAGAGGAGGGGGGTGAAGATAAGGTGGAGAATGCGTTGTCCCAGGTGCGGCCGGGCCGCTCGACACTTGTGTACCTTCACCTGCGACGACGACGACGACGACGACGACGACGATCGTAGTCCCAGCAATTGAGCGGCCACACGTGGAGGCCTGTGCACCTGCACCTGCATCTTGGTCCATCTTGGCCGTCTTAGCGACCATCTTGGCCGTCTTGGAGATCATCTTGGCCGTCCTAGAGGCATCTTGGAGGCCATCTGGGGCGCGTCTTGGAGACCATCGCGAGCGTCTTGGACGCCTCTTGGGCCGTCTTGGTGCCCTCTTAGGGCCGTCTTGGGAGCCTCTTGGGCAGTCATAGCACCATCTGGGAGGCATCTTGGGCGATCCTGGGGTGACCATGGTGACCTCTGGGGCCACTTTGGGCAGTGGGAGGGCCGAAGAAGCGCAAAAACCAAAATCCTTCAAATACTCAAGGAAGATCAGTGATTTTGACTTCCGCGGGCCTTCCTGGAGCAGATTTTGGAAGCCTCTGGGACCGTCTTGGAGGCCTCTCGGGAGCCTCTTGTTCCGTCTTTGGCCGTCTTGGAGGCATCTTGGGGCCATCTGAGCTGTCTTGAAGGCCATCTTGACGATCTTGGAGGTATCTTGGAGGCCATCTTGGCAGTCTTGAAAGCCATCTTGGCCGTCTTTAGAACAATATTTACGAACATTCTGGTCGTTCGCGCGGCCTTGTGCGGTTCTCTGGGACCCCGGCGGGACGGGCCGTCTAGGATACCTCACGCCCGGCACCCCTTTGGCAAGCCAACAGGGGGCGGCGGATCTAATGGTCTTCGGCCCATCCCACCACCGTGCCTGAGTTGTGGGTATGAAGCCCATTGGATATTCGTTGGGGTATCGTTGGAGGCCTCTAGTGGGTCTCTTAGAGGCAGTCTTGATGCCTCGCTTGGGCCGTTGTGGGATCTTCTGGAGCCGCTTTTGGCCCTCTTGGGGGCCCTTGGGGGCCTCTTGGGCGCCTCTTTGGGCCTCGTGGGCGCCTCTTGGGGCCTCTGGGGCGCCTCTCGGAGCGGAAGGCTCGGATTTGGGGTTCGCGTTCCCTCTCTTGGGCCATGTTTGGGCCGTCTTGGGGCCAGCTTGGGCCGTCTTGTGCGCCTCTTGGGCCGTCTTGGGGCGCTCTCAGGCCGTCTTGGTGCCCTCTTGGAGGCCTCTTGGTCTTGGGCTGTCTTGGGGGCCTATTGGGCAGTCTTGGAGCGTCGGAAAGCCGAACGGGCGAGAACGCCAAAATCTTTCGAAAACCTACGGAAATTCAGTCATTGCCTCCTGGGGCCCTCTTGGGAGGCCTCCTGGAGGCCTCTTGTGCCGTCTGTGAGGCCTCGTCGGCCATCTTGAGGCCATCTTGGGCGTATTGGAGCGATCTTGGGGCGACTTGGGGCTCTCTTTGTCAGTTTTCGTTTTCGGGGCCTCCCGGGGCGAAGCTGGCCGACGCGAGCGGTTCCGGAAGACCCCAGGCTGGCCCAGCAGACAGCAGGCCCCCTCGTGGCCCCCCCGCCGAGTCTCCTTGCCCGTCCTCCATGCCCGCCTGTCAGGAAATCGCGGACTACATTGTGCAAAGGGTGCGTCTGGCGCGGTTCCTCGACGCGATGGCCCTGACACAAGAAGTCACGCAGGATGACGTCCAGGAGCTTCGTCGCCTGCCCAGGCCGGCCCTGGAAGTAACTGGCCCGGGTCCTGAAAGACCTACAGTGCCGGCAGCAGCAGCAGCAGCAGCAGCACAGCCTTCTCGGTGCCGCATGAGCCTTGGGGCACTCCACTTCGTGCCAGGGACACGGGGGCGGACGTGTTAGATGTTTGCCAGCGTGGGCTCCAAACAGTGTGTTCTAGCATACTGCGTGGTGCAGTATATTTGTGGTGCAATCTCTGTTATGAAATTTACATGATGCGATACATGTGGTGCAAGCTATTTGGTGCAATGTATGTGGGGCTAACGTGCTCGTCTATGTGGTGTGAGCTATCTGGTGCAAGTCACGTGGTGTAATCTATCTGGTCCGATCTAAGGGGTGTGCTAGGTCGAGCGATCACTGTAGTGTGGTGTAAGCTATACGGTGCAATCTCGTGCAGTCGATTGCAATGCAACGGGGGGGTACAACGGGGCAGTGGAGACGGGCGGCGACGGCGACAACAAGCGCGGCGACCGACACTTAGGCGCAATGGAGCGGCGACGGACGGCGGCGACGCCGAAAACAAGCGCGGAAACCGACACCCAGACACAGAAGCAGCAGCGACGGACGGCGACGACGGCGACGACGAGCCGTTCGGACCGACACCCAGGCCCAGTTCTCTGTCGACGAAGTAAGAACCCCTATATACAAGCACCGTTTGGGGAGCGTTTTGCATGTCGGCAGAACTCTCGGCAAACAGAGACGCCCCAGGAGACATGTGGGCGCGGGAGCGTTGCGCCCACAACAGGGCGGGCACGGCACGGCAGAGCGTTGCGTCCGCACGGATCTCAGCAGCGACGATCGTTCGAGACAGATTTTGTTGTTGGGTTTGCGATCTGGCGCCCGGCGTAGCTGCACAGACGACGCCCACGCCCCTCACGAGCGAGGGCGAGATCAATCAGGTCGGCAGCACGATGTGAATTCATCCAGAGCTCATCTTTCAGAATTCGTGACGCTTCTCGTATCCCCCATCAGTCCGTAGCCTTGGCTCAAGTCATAGGATTAAGGCTTGGCTGGCTGCGTACCCAAGGAACATCTTACTTTTGCCAACGCCCCCAGGCAGGTCGCCTTATTACTTCTCCAGGTTGTACTGGCTTTGGCAGTGGTGCAGTCTGCTTGGGCATGCTACCTCATTGCTTGCTCGCTGCCCAAGGAGGGCATCTACGCTGCACGCAGGGCAGGTGAGCTTGCGAGCAGGATGCTGAAAACTCGGTTCATGCATTCTGAAACAGACCCACATAAGCAGAAGATAAAGCAGATGGTCGTCATGTCACGGGTTGACCTCTGCCGAACGTTGTTGCCACTTGCAGCAGGATTGAACACATGTTTATTGCTCGATTATTTCGTTCGTAACCGACTCTGGGCCGTATTTCTTTGGTCATGGTACGGGGTGCCTTCCGAAGTAGACGCGGCGCAACACAGAAATACGTGGATGGTATTGCTATTCAGGCAATTCGTTACGGTTCTTTGGCTTGCCTTCCCGCGCCTTCAAACTCCCAGTTGCATTCGTTTCGGAGTAGTTTTGGTGTACGTACGCCTTGCATTTGAGGCGCATTTGCAGTGCGAGGGGGACCTCGCTGTTTGGGTGGCCGTTACAGCACCGGTTCGCCTTGGGGCCAGCCTCATTCTCGGCGACGTTTTTGTGACCACATGCTTGAACGTGTTGTTATCCACGATGGTCTTCTGCTTTCACACCGATGTGTGGCACCTTAATTACCAAGTCTACACCTGCGCATACATATTCTGCGTCAACTGGGCCATAGACTGCTTGCGCTACGCGCAGTTCAAGTCCGTGCTGGAGGCTAGGATTTCCCACAGTGTGGAGGTCGCGGCGGATGGGCTGCTGAGCCAGTTGTGCGACGCGGTGGTGCATCTGGGAGAGGACATGCGGATCACGCAGCCGTCGCCCCACCTCGCGGCGCTGCTCCTCTGGCCGTCCTCTTGCGGTGGGATGCGGAACGTCTCCTTCATCGACCTCTTCTCCTGCAGCGCGGAGTCCGAGCGGGTGCGGGGGTTCCTCCTCCGCGATACCCAGGGCGCTGACATGCTGCATGCGTCCATGAAGGACTCCAACGATGTCGACGTGACGGCTCAGCTGTTCCACATCTGCGGCAAGGATTTCGACGACCAGATCTTCCACGTGGTGGGCGTGCGGGAGGACGCGGAGTCGTTCCGGATGCCACCCCCGCCGAAGGATGTTCCAGAGGATGTTTTGCACGCCACCCCCGTGTGCTCCGAGCCGCTCGCGGAGCACGCGCCCTCCGACGGTGAGAGCGCCAGGACGCTTCAGCTGGGGAGCGACAGCGGGGACCTGGCCGTGTATTTCAGGCTGTTCGAGGCCGGCCACCCGGTGGAGAAGTGCTCCGCAGGCTTCACCGTGCTAAGCGGGCCGTCGGCGCTGGGCACGAGGCTGCTGGAGTGGATGGTCAGCGCAGAGAGCTTCGCCGAGCGCGTGCAGGAGCTGTGCGAGAGCGCCCTGCGCCAGGGGCGGGACCTGAGCACGGAGCGAACCGTACAGGTGAGGCTCAGGCCGCCGCACCTGCACCGGCTCGGCAGGGAGCTCAGCGCCGAGGCCGTGCTCTCGCTGCTCCACAACGACGCCGATGCGGACGTGCAGCTGTGGACGGCCAAAATGGAGCTGTACGAAACCAAGGTGGTCAGGAAACGCAGCAAGAGCGAGCAGGTGCACATGCAGTTCAGGAAGAGGTCAGCCTCAGTGGCGAGTATCGAGGAGGTCTCGGATGAACTCGACTTGCTCGGGGAGATAGACGTTTACTTCAAGGTGCTCGAGAACGGCTACCCCGTCACCGCGTGCTGCTCCCGCTTCGCCTCGTTTGTCGGGCTGCCTGAGGGCGGGATCAGGTTGCTGGACCTGGCCGTCAACCCGGAGGACCTCATCTTGCCGGCGCAGGCAGTCTTCAGCGCAGCGTATCACAGCGGCGATTTCACCTCCTCGCAGCTGTGCAAGGGCGTGCGCCTGCAGCGGGCCCGCAAAAGTACGAGTCAACTAAGCTATGGCTTCAAAGCCACAGTCGCGCTCAGCATGGACCACAATGCCGGCTGTGAGGACGCCAACGAGTGGACGGTGAAGGCAATACTGTCCGACGTTGTGAAGGCACCGCGGCGCGCTCGGAGCGGAGGGGTGCAGTCCGCCGCGCTGGAGGGGCACTGCGCGGGTGACCCACGGCCGGTTGGCAAGGGTCCGACTGGCAGTTTGCAGCGACGGCAGGTACGGACTTCTCACGCAAACCACGACATCTAGCGGCTTTTGCAACCAAGGCCGAATTCCCGTTTTACCGGCTGTTGATCAAGTGAAGGGCCTTGGAAACCAACGCATGTAATGTCAGGCTCTCCGCCGTGATTCTGTCGCGCTGCCGGCGGAGGCCCCCCACGCGCAGCGGGGGCCCCCATTCTTCAGGGAGTTACGCGCCCCATTATTTCCAATGACCTCTCGCGTTTGACCCGCAGTCGGTCTCGCAACGTGGCACCGTTGCCGACCTCGGTTTCCCGCCCACGGGAATGGGGGTGGTGAACGAGGGAGACGAGGCCTCATGCCATCATCAGTCTTTACGCCCGGCGAGCTGGCGGGATCGGGCATCGACACATGTTGCTCTCCCAGACAGCCCCAGTGAGCCCTGTTCAGATGTTGTTGGGGTTAGACTGGAAGCTGCGCAGCACTATCGTCATGCGCCACCGATGGGACAGGGCCCCAGTCTGCGTGGACATGGGACAGCGTCTTGTTTTAGGATGTTCAGGCGCTTGTGCGCCATATTTGTTAAGTCGGGGACGGCTCGAAGCTTGTATGCGTAGCATCATACAGTGCGAATGGGGCAGGTCCCCAGGAGAAAAAAAACCTCTCAGTATGTGTGATCAGTTGGCAACCAGTGGCCGTCAGCCCCCCCTGGTATTGACTGCAGGCATCGCTGGCTAGTGATTGTCTGGCGCGGGGGCCCTCGCCGCTGGCCCCCGCCTTGTTTCACACTAGACGCAACGCGCCGCGCATGGACGCGGTAATCGCTGCGGGACTTGCAGACAGTGCAGCTACCCCTGGTGCCACTCTCTGCCCAGCCCCCGCTGCTCCCCGCCCTTGGGACTCGGGCAGCGGCCGGCTGACAATACTGCCTCGTGGACTGCCGCTGGGGCTGTGGTCCACTTGTCCTCCGCCGGCCTCCGGCCCGCTGCAGTTGTTTTCACCCTTGGCGCGTCACCCCACCGCGCCCCGGGGCATCCTCCCGTGCCGGGGCGGCCCCCCCCACGGCTGGTCTCCCGGTTCTTCCGCCGTTGCTTGTGGGGCCTCCCCCCCGCCTGCCTCGGTCCCCTCATACCGCGCAGATCGCGGTTCTTTTCCCTTCGAGGGTGGGGGCAACGGGTGCTCGTGGTTCAGCCTGGGCATTCCGTGGCCCAACCACGCCGCCGCGACCTCGGCTGGTGCGATGGCGTCCGCCCTCCTGCCGTCTTGAGTCGGCTCTGCAGTGATCGTCCCTGGACGCGCTGCCCACGCGTCGGTACGTACGGTGGTCGGTTTGTGCTGGCCAGCCGACTTGCCTGCCTTTGTTCGGTTCGCGCCAGTCGCCTGCTCTGGTTGGCCGAACACGGACCGCGCCCCTCTGATTCGGGGCTTGGGTGTGCGACGTTGCTGGCGCCACCACACGCACCTGCCCGGCCTTAACTGGCATCTTGGGCCTTCTTTGAGGTGCTTTACCCTGGTCGCACCGCGGTGCTTCCGCACGCCATTTTGGCTGCACCTAGGCTTTGGCTGGCCAACTCACGCGCACAATTTGCCTCGTGGAGGCTTCGTCCCACCTGGCTCTGGCCACCCTGGTACTTTGTAGTCCTTAGGGTGCTCACCCTTTGCATCCAATTCAGCTTTTGCAGACCGTGGCAGTCGGCCCCCCTGGCAGTCAGCCTCTCTGCAGTTCGTTGCATGCGTGCAACCCCTGGCAGTGCAGCTTCCCTGGCGCCTGGCAGCCGCCGCCAGCACCCCTCCACTCGCCGGCCTGGCCGCCGAGGTGCCGCGTGAGGCTCCGGCCCACCACTTTAGGTTAATTCGTTTTTGCGCGGCCCGCTCTGACTCGACTCGCCGCTGGTATACTCTCGCCTATGGTCGCTGACAAAAAGTACCCCCGCTAGTCTTACGCTTCCCTGGTTTACGGCAATTCGCCCCCAAACACCTCAAGAAAGGCACCCTGAAGTTCTCTGCGATCGGCTCCAGCCAGGGCGGCGAGGCCGACGACGTGATCTTTTTGACCACCAGATCCAACGGAGGGCACAACTGGGGTTTCATCGACGACGCCAGCAGGGTGATCGTGGCGATCACCAGAACTACCCGGTTCGTGGTGGTCATTGGGGGCGGCAGGATGTTCGGAAGCGCCACCTCGTCCAGACTATGGGTGCTGTCTGAATACGGGAGGTTCTGGAAGGTTCCAGAAGAACCGCACACTAGGCAACAGGCCCCACCTGAACCTGGACACCACCTTCGACCCAGTTCGGGATCTCGCCACCTGAGTCACCACACCCGTCTCCTGGTCAGGCAGTGCGGACGGGGGCGACGCGACGAAGGAGATCGACGGTGCCATCAAGCGGGCCCGGGAATCCTTGGCCAACAGCTTCGCCGAAAGGGTCGAGTCGCCACCCGAACCTAACTTCAATTGGGAAGCCCTAGGACAGCCCGTTGCAGACCCCATGGACAGCCTCCTCGCCACGCCGGCGTTCGCAGTGGTCCTCTTCCTGGTCTCAGGGCTTCACCCGCACGAGTTCTCCCTGGCCGACACTCCCAGCGACCCCGGCTGACTGGACCGGAAGGCATGGTCTCATCTCGTTTTCCTGTGCGACATGGGCATAGGCCTAGATGCAAGCAACCTGGTATACAACATGTTCTGGGCGTGCCCGGTGTGGGCGATGGGGCTAGGCACCACCATGGGGGGACAGCGGACGTGCCCTATCGGACGACTCACCCCCACCGCACCCGGCGGCAAAAGGGGGTTGCTGCACCCGCCCTCGCGCAGGACGCCAGTGCGCGCCGAACGGCTCGTTGCGGCAGGTTCCGGGGGCTTGGAGCGACACGACTCGCAACTGCTGCCGCCACAGGGCACGCCCCGGGATGGACACCCCAGCGCTTGCTGCTGCGCGATGCGCCCCGAGGCCAAGAACTACGCGACAGATTCAGGAGCACGGACAATCAGCCCCTGGACACCCGGAAGGCCCAGGCTCTTTTTGTCATCATGATGCTCCTGATCACAGCCCTGGGCCCAGGACTTCCCGATGGCCCTTCCCCAGCGCCGAGGGCGCGGGCGACGTCGTCGAGGCCGTGCTCGGGCTGTGCGTTCCCTGGCAGGGCGCACGCCTGGATTCCCGGCAGAGTTTCGCAGCTGCTGGGAACTTCTCGCTGGGCGACTTCGTAGAGCTACGCGGGAAGATCGAGGACGCGCTCACCCAGGTCTCGCGCCCAGTAACGAACGCACATCATCACGAGGTGGCCAAGGGGCTGGATGCCCGCAGTCCTGGAAGGACATAGAAAAGGCCGACTTCAAGCTCAAGGTTCCAACGCTCGTCCTGGAAGAGATCGTGCCAGCAGCCGACCTCGCCCCGCTGGCATCCTAGAAGTGCCCAATATGCGCGCTCCACTCCGCCCTAGCCGGGCCCGAGGCTGGCCTGGGAGAAGACCGGGCTGATGCTGCGCTGGGATACGTCGGCGGGGGCACGGCGCTCTCCAAGACCGACCTGGCCTCGCCCGCGCCAGCTGCCCCCGCTCCCGGCACAATGTTGCCCCCCCTCGCCATCTGCGATAACAGGTTACAGGGCGACCAGAAGAGCGCGCTCTTCACCTGCGACAGCTGCCGCTCGAACAAGCCCAGGCACACAGGCGGGGCCTGGGAGGGCGACGCCGCCAGGGAGCTGCTGGCCAGCAACAGACCTCAGGAGGGCCTGGACGGGGAGAACCTCACCTGGCTGCGCGAAGCCTGCCGGGTAGCCAGCCTCAACAGGAGGGGCGCCCCAGGCCCAGAGGGCGCCACCGCCGCCACCAAAGTCGTGGACTACGCAACCTGGCATAGCCGTCTTCCAAGCGACCCCGTCGCCAACGCTCCCCCCCCGCCCCCCAGCCTCTGGCCCCTGGGCTACGGGCGCAGCCCCCTCGCAGGGGATGCGAGGGCGCTGAGCGACCTCCCGATGGCCCCGCCCGCCCAGCACCGTCCGAAGCTCGCCGACACCACTCTGCCGGCGAAGAGAAACTCAGACGGAAGGGTCGGAAGCGATGCCCGCAAAACGCACTCCTACTCCGCCAGGCGCGACACCTGCCCACCCGACGGCCCACTCCTCGCGCGGAAGGTTGACGCGCCAGCGGTCGGCTGCTTCATATGGAAGGCCTACGACGATGCAGCAGTCGACGGGCGCGCCCGCCTTCCCGAGTGGGGCCAGTGGCCACCCTGTCGGTTCGATCGCAAATGGAACGCCACGTGGTGCTGCCGAAGGTGCCAAGTGTGTATATATATATGTATATATATATGTGTGTATATATATATATATATATATATATGTATATTTGTGTGTATATATATATATATATGTGCATGTATATATACACATCTGGGACGTTGATCCAGCCACCCTGGACTGAATCATGGGCAGCGACTCTTGGGAAGTCCCCCCGCGGCAGCCTGCAGCCCGCCCGCGCCGCGCCGCGCAGGCGGACGCCTGCGACGCCCCTTTCGACCTGGCCACCGAACTCACACCCGCAGTGGCGGATGCAAAGGCGCCCGACCCTTGCGCCCGCAACAGAGCTCAGCGGGCACCGCAACGGCCGTGGGGGAGCTAGCAGCGTTCGGCCGCAGCCCGACCCGCTCAGCCGCACAGCACCCCAGGTCTTGGAGCTACTCCCCGACCTGGCGCCGCCAGGGGCTCCGAGGCTCAGCCGCAGGGGCGTCTCTGCACTAGCCCTTGACGAGGCAAGCGACTCCAAACGCAGCTGACGCAACAAGTTAAAAGGGGCCCATCACACCCTCGTCTCGTCGCCTACCCACCGGACTACCGCCCCACGCTGGATCAGCACTGGGTGGGCTTCGTCAAGGCATTCGGCGCAGACATCCCAGCCCCGAAAGACCAAGAGACCTCCTGGCCTGCGCTCCTTCTGGCCCCCTTCCTGGTCAAGGTGCACGGCGCGAACGTCCCGGGAGGCGGCCGCCCGGAGGGCGCCGCCCGGGACGGCGAGAGATGGGTAGCAGCGAGGGCGGTAGGGCACCCATTGTGCAGCCCAATGCACGAGGAGGCGCGGGCAGCTCACTACTCGAGCCTGGCCCACGACAAGGGGCCAAGCCCGTTCCGCCACGACCTCGCCGTCCTCGACAGCTTCCTTGCCAGCCTGAACCCAGGTGCCCTCGCAGCTGCCTTCATTGCCACCCTTGCTGGACAAGACCCCTCGACTGCGGGCGCAGACGAACCGCGATCGGCGCCCCCAAGGGAAGCAACGAGAACTTGGCTTCAGCAAAAGTAGAGGAGGCAGCAACCGCAGCGGGCGAGGGGCCCTCGTCCACCGGCGCCCCACCCAGCGGCGCGGCCCCTAAGGAGGCCGAGCCTCGCGCCCCGCAGGCAGAGCACGCCCGTCAGGCGGCGGGGCAGCAGGCGTGCGACAACCCCCCTGGCGAGGAAGCAGCCTCCTCTCCAACGAGCCCAGCGCCCACCGCGAAGGCCGACATCGAAGGGATCGACTACGACGAAGAAGGCGGAGTCGAAGAGACCCAGTCATCAGCCTCTCTGCCGCCCTGCGACTCAGTAAAGGGCACCGCCGACCCGGAAAGCAGCTCGTTCCCACCCTCGCTCGACGCCGCTGGAGACGCAACCGGAGGCAGCCCCTCCGACGACCCCCTGAGGATCT